AAAGATAACATATTTACTCAGAGTAAACATTATATCTAAAATTTGTATGTCTAATGCAAAATCTATAATGTTTATATTCAAAATGATCATCATATTGTAAGAATTCCAGCAATGTAAATTATATTCTGGCCGGGTAATTTGTATGAATTTTATGAGCTAAATAAAAAAAAAAAAAAATACTTCACCGCGCATATGAGTAGATGACCCGCGTTAAGTGAAAGTTCGGTTTTGGCGTGGCAACGCGTATATGAGAAATCGCGTTAAGTGAAACCAGTGTAAAGCTCGGTAATACTGTGTGTGTGTGTTAACCGAAAAGTTCGTTAACCGAAACCATTGTTTCAATGGGTTTTTGGGTAATTGGTTCCAGCTCACCGAAAATTTCCTAAATTCAACAAAAATGGAAAAAAGTTCACTTACTTTGAGGTGTGAATGTAGAAGGCTCCTGGATGATGATGATGATGATGATGGAATTTAGAATGGGGGTGGAGGAGAAGGATGAAGAGAAGGCATTGGGGTGGAAGAGAAGTCACCCCATGGCGCCATTTCACCCATAAAATTTTAGCTCTCTTGGTGTAATTCAAGATTATTTTCTTTAAATCAACACTGCACTGCATTATATATTGTTAATATGTAAAATATATTTCAAAATGACCAATAATTTGCTTGGAAACAGAAAAAAAGCGTTTAGTTGAAGAGAGACTCAAGCAAGATGTTACCTCCAGTGAAAACAGAGAGAGACTAACTCCTGTTTGCTGTGTTAAGAGGCTGGATACCGCGCATTAAACTAGTCACTTTACCTTCAATTATGTTCAATAATTGTTAAAATGACTAAAAAATTGAATATTAAACTTTTAAAATTATTGAATAGTATAAACTTCTTGATATTTACTAAAATAGTAAGGAATTTAAGCCCTAGAACCGATTAATGTATTGGCGGACTGATTCTGTAGATATATGAGACGAATATGGCTGTAATATGTAACTGTACTATTTACCATTATTGATTCAGGTCTCTGTATTATATGTTTATAATCATACTCCCTTTTGTCACTGAGTGTTAGTTCATGTTTTGGGCACATGTTTGTTGTACGCGCTTGCGCAGATAGAGATACCCAGAGAGATTCCAAGACAGGACGCTGTTCCCCCTGTCTTAACTCCTTTTTGTGTTTGTCCCAGAAATAGAACTTACGGACTTGACATCAGTGTGTTTCCTTTACCCCTGAGTGTAAGGACCACCTGAGTCTCCCACAGATACTAAAGCTGGTTGCCCGGTCAGTGCAAACGAAAACATGTTGAGGTCGGTTCGTAAGAACTTCGTTAACCGAATTTTTTTTCGTTAACCGAATTGAAGATCCTTATGGAAGGCAGTTAATGAAATTAAGTTTACGAGTGTTCGTTAGCGAGGTCATATATATATATATATATATATATATATATATATATATATTATATATATATATATATATATATATATATATATATATATATATATATAATATATATATATATATATATATATATATATATATATATATATATATATATATATATATAAATCACTGTGGGTGTGCGTGATCTGGAGCATGCTGATAGCCACAGGATATATATATATATATATATATATATATATATATAAATATATATATATATATATATATATATATATATATATATATATATATATATATATATATATATATATATATATATATATATATATATATATATATATATATATATATATACATACATATATACAGTTAACCCTCACTTTACGCGGTTAATGTAACCCGGAGGGTACCGCGGAAAGCGAGAAACGCGTAAAGTGAATAACATAACATATGGGATTAATTGAAATGGAGTCCAGGCCGATCCCCAAACTCCACTTTTTGACGACACATAACTATGTTGTAGTAAAAATAACATCTTAATTTTATGATGGTACATTCACACAATTAATACTTAAGAGAAATAGAGAAATACAGTCGCCAAGTTAATGTCCACTCAAATAATGGACATGACTCCCTCCCCCTCTCACACTACACTGCCGGCTCTTCCCTCTCTGAGAAATTTTGGGGGGAAAACCAGGTATAGTAATAAATATTACCTCAAACTAAAGTTAGGATAATATAATTGACATTGCTGGATTCCTTGTAAGACCAGAAATATTTTGAATATAAATGTCATATATTTTTCACAAAAGATAACATAGGCTACTTACTCAGATTAAACATTTTATCTAAAAATTTTATGTCTAATGCAAAATATATGATGTTTATATTTAAAATGATCACCAAATTGTAAGAATTCCAGCAATGTAAATTATATTCTGGCCGGGTAATTTGTATGAATTTTATGAGCTAAAACAAATATCTTCAGTTAATTAAAAAAAAAAATATTCTTCACGACACTATCTGTCAATCAAAGTACCCCACCTTGCCTCCCCCCCTCTTCCAACCGCGCGGTCAGTCCCAAACCCTCCCCCCCACCCCCCACCAATCCTCCATTCAAGAGAAAGAGTGGGTGAAAAAAATAAATTTTAACATTTTGTATTAAATAATACCTCAGATTAAAGTTAGGATAATATAATTGACATTGCTGGATTCCTTGTAAGACCAGGAATATTTTGAATATAAACGTCATATATATTGCACAAAAGATAACATACTTACTCAGAGTGAACATTTTATCTAAAAATTTTATGTCTAATGCAGAATATATGATGTTTATATTCAAAATGATCATCATATTGTAAGAATTCCAGCAATGTAAATTATATTCTGGCCGGGTAATTTGTATGAATTTTATGAGCTAAAATAAAAATCTTCAGTTAATAAAAAAAAAAAAAATATTCACACGGTAACAGATGGTCGGTCGCCGGTCCCTCCCTCCCTCCCCCCCACCAACGTCCCTACTTGATAAATGTGTGGGAATACCAGACTGTTTACCTTTTTAGTAATAAATAAATAATCAGACTAAAGTTAGGATAATATAATTGACATTGCTGGATTCCTTGTAAGACCAGGAATATTTTGAATATAAATATCATATATTTTGCACAAAAGATAACATATTTACTCAAGAGTAAACATTATATCTAAAATTTGTATGTCTAATGCAAAATCTATGATGTTTATATTCAAAATGATCATCAAATTGTAAGAATTCCAGCAATGTAAATTATATTCTGGCCGGATAATTTGTATGAATTTTATGAGCTAAATTAAAAAAAATTATACTTCACCGTGTAAAGGGGTACACCCACCGCGGAATGTGAGCATCCTGGGTTCTGGCAGGGCACCGCGTAAACGTGGAAACGCGGAATGTGGGACCGCGTAAAGTGAGGGTTGACTGTGTATATATATATATATATATATATATATATATATATATATATATATATATATATATATATATATATATATATATATATATATATATATATATATATATATTATGTATATATTGTGTTCTTGTAAAATATCGTGTTATAGAAAATCGCGTAATAGAAATAACAGGGCTTATGGAGAAAATAGGGTTAGGTGCAGATTACTCGAAATCGAAAAAATTTAGTAGTTAGCCCAACACAAAGGATAGCACAGTCTAAATAAATGTTACATTCATATCTAATAATGAAATCATACAGTAAATGTAACACTTTACCTTGAAAAAATATGAATGTAACTTGATGGGGGAGAAGGGTGATTTTGAGGTTGATAACATCGAGCTTCTCTTCAAGTGTTATATCCTTTCTTTTACGATAATCACCGGGAATTCTATCATCAGAACGCTTTTTGGAGATATTCTTCTTTACCATAATTACAGTTAATACCACAAAATTGGAGAAATAGTAAGCAAAAATCGCGTTATAGCAAACAAGCGTTCGCGTTATACAAATATTGTTCCGAATTCATAAATCGCGTTAGAGCAAATTCGCGTTATCAAAACACGCGTTATAGCAGAACTCACTGTGTATATATATATATATATATATATATATATATATATATATATATATATATATATATATATATATATATATATATATATATATATATATATATATATATATATATATATATATATATATATATATATATATATATATATATATATATATATATATATATATATATATATATATATATTCATTTATTTTACAATATATATATATATATATATATATATATATATATATATATATATATATATATATATATATATATATATATATATATATATATTGTAAAATAAATAGATCTGCCTATAGGTTATTTCATTGTAGTTCCTCATGTGCCAAGATTATCATTGACCTCATTTTTGTGGGTGTGTCTCATAAGTAAGAAATATGGTGTAACTGTTGGAAAAATGAACTTATTCACAGACTGCTTCACTCATAGCATCTTACTTTAAAATTTTTTTATGATGGATTTGTTTCATAATAGGGAAAAAGATGTTATTGTAAACTGAAAATACCGTAAGGTGGACGTGATGATAAACTGCTTCACTGTCCGTGCTATTTCAATATTAACATTACTTTTGTGTTAGGTAGGATATCAATTTTGATGGGTTGATGACCCGCAGATAAATACCTAAATAGCAATGCAGCCCATGACTGAGGAAAGTTTGCCCATGCCTACATTAGATAAAAAAATTCCATTTACAATAATTTGATTTAGTGTGACTCCCATATACCTGTTCTGTGAATTAATCAAGCTTCATTGTATTATCATTATTATTCACCACTAGGTTTGTCCAGAACATGCACCTGTCCTCGAAAATAATGGACCAAGCTTTATGGATTTTTTTTTTTACCTGTACAGTCTCTTATTTTGATGAACAAGTGCCAAAAGTAAACCATTCTCATCTCAGACTTTATACAGTTTATCTGATTTATTAATTTATTTTTTAATGTCCACATTTTGAATAAGATAGAAGATATTTCTGAATTTGCCAGGAAATGTTATTTTTGTTTAATACCTGTTTATATTTCATTGTAGATTGTGTAGAATGTGAACAGATGTCTAGCCATGGTTGTCCACAGCATCACATACAAGCCATATCTGACAAACCTGTGAGGACCAGAGCCTGGGCATCGCTCCCTGCACAACACCTAATCATTCGTAAAGTCTCGGACACTGAAGGTGAGGATAAGTTGTTTCCTTATATTGACATTACCAACTCCTTCCATTCAGTCCCTGGTTCCTAGTTATAGTTTTTTCTTTCAGTTATATTGGATCCAGAAATTATAGTACAGATACAGTAATTGTTTTTGACAGATTAGCTTTTGGGAACTTTGCTTTTCTCATTTATGCCTTTTTTTTTCAATTCCGTCATTATAATGACATCCAACAAACTCCATATTTATAGTGCCGAGTAGTGTAGTTGAAGTGGAAGCATGTGACACTTACCTTTATACAGAAAGTTGATGTTGTACAGAAATTAGATAAAGGAAAGTCTATGCATAACCTGAGGGAACATTATGGTGATGGTAATGCAATTGTATACCGTACGACACCAAGAAGCAATGTGAAAATCTGTTTAAATGTTTCATGCTGAGTGATTCAAATAGGGACACTGCTTTGCATAAAACGATGCACATAATTAGGTCAACTGACCTTGTGAGTTGTTTATGAGTGGTTTAAGCACTGCCCTTGTGAAGGTCCACTTAATTTTGGGCCAATTGTGTATGAAAAGGTTGAACACTTTCATTATTAGTTGAAATTGAGTATTTTTTTTATTTAGTTTTATATATAATATCCAGGGCTCATTTATTTACTGTATATGGTACAGTATGACAAAAACGAAATGATAATTAATAACTACATCAGGTATACAAAACACTATTGTTAAAGTTTTGAGATGTTTGGACCCATTGGAAAGATCGGTACAGTATCTGTAATCCAGAAATATCCATATGAGCGCTGCTCAGGTCTAAGAAATTTTTCACTGGAAATCTTTTACCAGTATTAATATTGCACTGTATTATATTTTTCCCTTTACTGTACAGGTGCTTGTATTTAGTTTGGTTCTCAGGAGTTGTAAATATAACCTAGATAAGATTTTGAAGGCATATCAGGGAATTATTGTAGCAAACTTTGTTTTAGAAGTTAAATCCTTGAAATGGTTGCTTCATCACAAAGTCGCATAAAAGTGATTGTTAATACTGTACAGTATGTAATGATTATGGTCCAGGAACTATTGAGATCATCCATAACTGGAATTTTTAAACCTGTGTACAGTACTACAGTCCTTATATAGCATCAGTTGTATACAGTATTAAGATGCAATAATAAACATAGAAAAGCTTTACTAATAATATAGGCCTATTATTGTCTTTCTGTGACAAGAACCGGTAAATGTGATTCGTGTGAATCAGGTATGTATGAGGACAACTTGAACATGAATTTTTCTTATGTATGGAGTCCCTGTAAGTGTATATTGTATATGTGGTGACGTGTGGTGTAATGGTCAGCATGCTTGCCTCGCAAGCGAGTGGACCCGGATACAATCCCCGGACATAGGGTGAAACTATGGGCATGTTTCTTTACACGATTTGCCTCTGTTTACCCGGAAGCAGTTGGGGACTTTGATGTTAATCAATTTGTGGATCATATTCCGGAGTAATGGTTAGCAAGTGCTGTTGGCGAGTTGTCCAGTCTTCTCGGACTATTCCTTGACACTGGGTCATGCAACATGTTAACTTGGGGTGTGATTGTTGTGTTGGCGACAGCTTCTACACCTTAAACAAATTCAAGCCTAGGTGGCCCTTGGGCTGGCCATCCTCGATTTCGAGGGGCATCCATTATACTATATATGCAGATACAGTAAACCTTCCCAATTCCTGAATAGCATGTGTAAGTCCTATCCTTTATTGAGAGAATTCCCTTAATGGGAAGGTTTCCTTTTACCCCCCATATATACATTAAACAATACAATAGAAATTTCACACATCATTCCCAACCATCAAAATGCACATTTTTTATGGTACTTACACTTGGGTATCAGAAATATGTAATGCTTGGCATTAAGCTCAGGTGTCCAACTTGCACCATGTGGTCATTAGTGGCCAAAAAGATCTCCCTTATTGAAAGGGTTTACTGTATAAGTCTTTTTTTGCAGTTTGTGCCTGTGCAGGTTAGAGTATGAGTATATGTGTATTAACGCATACTTGCCTTATCTTAATAAGTTGAAAAAAGAAGAGGATAATTGCCTTTGAATCACTCAAGAACATAGTTTGAAATTTCTCATGGGAGATGTATTCACTTAATTTTTTTGCAGTAGCCTGATTTCTCAATTTATTACTTGGTTAAGTCACCATGAAAAGTGTTGAAAACAAAAGAAGGATTTATTTGCTGTCAAACAAATCATGCATTTTCAAAAAGAATTGAGGTGAAATTATTTTGTCTTTTTCTTCTATAGAATTTGGTGTGTTTGCTCGCAAGTCCATCCCAAAACGAACGCAGTTTGGGCCTATAGAGGGTGTTATGCAAGGGGAAGTCAGTGGTTCAACATCTTCCTATGGCCTTATCTATACCATCAATTCTGGAGAGGAATATTTGCACTTAGATACTTCAGATGAAGGTACAGTATAATACAGTGTATGTGAAGATTTTTTCTGAAATGAAATGCTCAAGGTAAGTAAGTGTATTTGGGTTTAAATCTGGAAACTCCTACAATAAATTTTAGAGGAGTCAAACTGTTATGCAGTTTGTTTTTCTTTGTGGAAATGTATAATTCCTATCTCTGTATTTGATACACCTTTTCCTGCTGTTCGTCAAGGTTTCACATAAAGAAGCTTCACCATTTACTGTGGTTACATCTTATTTCCACATTCCCCAATAGTGACACCCATGAAAAAAAAAATCTCAATCTATCCTCTTTGTCCTATTCTTCATGTTAGGTCATTTTATTTTACTTTAGGCTTTTTTTGGTGGGGGTGGGGGGGTTAAAATATTTTAATGGAATCTTTTACCCATTCATTGTGGCTGGTCTAAATTTCAAGTGTACCCTTAAAGTGGGTGCTTGCCTCTCATCTACTTTCCTCAGTTCAGTAAAACCTCTCTAAGGCAGACTAATTGGGGGGAAGGGGTGTCTGGTATAAGAGGTTGTCTGCCTTAGAGCAAATTTTTCCAAAAACATCGCCATTTAAAAAATCGAGTACAACACCAATGTTTCCAATTTTTATGAAAGAATTACATGTTTTTTAATCAAAATTAATTTTAAAAAGTAAAGTAATGTACATAAAGTACTGTACACTTCCTTTTAGTTCACTGATAAGGTCTTAGGCTTAACCTTCTCGTCACCCTTATGGATACCAAACACTTTCCTAGGGGCCATGGTTATTGTTTAATTTTTCAATAATAATGCAAAAAATATGAATGCTACTTCAGCCTACGGTGAATGTATTAAATGTATAAAAACGATAAATAATGATATAAAAACACCAAAAATACAGTACCGTATTTTACGGTAGGGAGTATTTAAGAAAAAACTTTTGTGTGTACAGTGGTCCCTCAGTTAACGAACACAATTCGTTCCAAAGGGTTGTTCGTTAACCGACAGTGGTCCCTCTGTTAACGAACACAATTCGTTCCATAGGGTCTTTCGTTAACCAAAAATTTCGTTAACCGAATCCATTGTTTCAATGGGATATTGGGTAATTGGTTCTAGCTCACAGAAAAGTACATACAAAGTAAAAGAAAATGCAGTAAAGTACACTTACTTTGAGGTGTGTATGTAGAAGGTTCCTGGTTGATGATGATGATGATGGGAATTGGAAGTGGGGGCGGAGGAGAAGGGAGAAGAGAAGGAAGTGGGGATGGAGGAGAAATCACCTTTCAGGGGACTCAAGCTTGATGCAGTAGTTTCACCAATAAAATTTTAAGTTCACTAGGTGTAATTCAAGATTATTTTATTTAAATTAATACTGTGCTATATATTATCAATATGTTAACTAAATTTCAGAATGACCAATAATTTTAATGTAAAAATGCAAAAATATTCAAGACACCAACAAAATAGATATTCAATCCACTGTAAACAAAGCCACACTGACGCCTGGTGCCTGAGTCAAGCGACTGATGGGCGCACAAAAAACTAGTTCCCTGTACTGCATATATTATCAATATGTTAACTAGATTTTAAAATGACTAATGATTTTAATATAAAAAATGCAAAAATATTAGAGAGCACAACTTTCTTGACATTTACTCCACTGGAAACGAATGTAAACATAGAACAGATTACTGAATTGGCAGACTAGCCCATCAGCTGATCAGCTGATCAGCTGGAATTCTTACAATATGATGATCATTTTGAATATAAACATCATGGATTTTGCATTAGACATACAAATTTTAGATCTAACGTAATAATTTGGTTTACACAAAGCAAATATTTTATCGTTTGTGCAGAATATATGAAGTTTACATTCAAAATATTCCCTGACCTGCAAGGAATCCAGAAATGTCAATTATATTATCCTAACTTTAGTCTGAGTTATTATTTATTACTAAAAATGTAAATATACTATTTTCTCCCAAAGCTTCTCTGGTAGGGAGGGAGGGACCGACCCAGCTAGGGCAGAGTATTTTGATTGACAGATAGTGTCCTTGAAGAATATTTCTTTGTTTATTTACTGAAGATATATGTTTTAGCTCATAAAATTCATACAAATTACCCGGCCAGAATATAATTTACATTGCTGGAATTCTTACAATATGATGATCATTTTGAATATAAACATCATGGATTTTGCATTAGACATACAAATTTTAGATCTAATGTAATAATTTGGTTTACACAAAGCAAATATTTTATCTTTTGTGCAAAATATATGAAGTTTACATTCAAAATATTCCCTGACCTGCTAGGAATCCAGAAATGTCAATTATATTATCCTAACTTTAGTCTGAGGTATTATTTATTACTAAACGTTAAAATCTAGTGTTTTCACCCACACATTTCTCAGAGAGGTAGGAGCTAGTGAGCTGGGAAGAGAGGGGGGGGGGGATTTGAGTCCATTATTTGAATGGACATTAACCTGGCGACTGTATTTCTCTTAAATATTAATTGTGTGTGCATACCATCATAAAATTCAGATGTTATTTTTACTACAACATAGGTATTGTGTCGGCCCAGTCTCTATTTCAATTAATCCTGTATGTTCTGTTATTCCATTTACGCGTTTCTCTTTTTACCCGCTACTCCGCTGGTTCAATTGACCGCGTAAATCGGGGTATTACTGTATATATATATATATACAGTGACCCCTCGTTTAACGAACACCTCGGTTAACGTAATTTCGATTAACGAACTGCCTTCCATAAGGATCTTCAATTCGGTTAACGAAAAAAAATTCGGTTAACGAAGTTCTTACGAACCGACCTCAACATGTTTTCGCTTGCACTGACCGGGCAACCAGCTTTAGTATCAGTCCGCCAATACATTAATCGGTTCTAGGGCTTAAATTCCTTACTATTTTAGTAAATATCAAGAAGTTTATACTATTCAATAATTTTAAAGTTTAATATTCAATTTTTAGTCATTTTAACAATTATTGAACATAATTGAAGGTAAAGTGACTAGTTTAATGCGCGGCATCCAGCCTCTTAACACAGCAAACAGGAGTTAGTCTCTCTCTGTTTTCACTGGAGGTAACATCTTGCTTGAGACTCTCTTCAACTAAACGCTTTTTTCTGTGTTTCCAAGCAAATTATTGGTCATTTTGAAATATATTTTACATATTGACAATATATAATGCAGTGCAGTGTTGATTTAAAGAAAATAATCTTGAATTACACCAGAGAGCTAAAATTTTATGGGTGAAATGGCACCATGGGGTGACTTCTCTTCCACCCCAATGCCTTCTCTTCTTCCTTCTCCTCCACCCCCATTCTAAATCCCATCATCATCATCATCATCATCCAGGAGCCTTCTACATACACACCTCAAAGTAAGTGAACTTTTCTACCATTTTTGTTGAATTTAGGAAATTTTCGGTGAGCTGGAACCAATTACCCAAAAACCCATTGAAACAATGGTTTCGGTTAACGAACTTTTCGGTTAACGAACGACCTTCTGGAACGGATTGAGTTCGTTAACGGAGGGGTCACTGTAATTAACTTGGTACATTGAGTAAAGGATCAAAGTTTTGTGACATAACTAATGTATAATGAGTCTCCATATGCCCTGGTTTATTCATTGATCAGTTGTCTAAGCCCTGTGGAGCTATCATGTATCAATTAATTTTAAAATAGAAGTTATAGTATAAAATGTTACAAGACAATGGCTTAGTAGTGCAGTTAATGTTTGTGTTGTGTAAGTGTCTTGGCATGTCACCTCACCACCTGACTCCTGAACAAACTCTTCATCAACTTCTTCCAATCCTACAATGTGCTTGGCAATCTAAAACACACACACACACACACACACACACACACACACACACACACATACGGGAATTAAGACAACAAGCATCCAGTGAGGGTCTTTTTGTGTGACTGCATGGAGGTGAATTAAAAGATCAGCTGTTGAGGAGCTTATCACTTGGCAACACTGGTGCATGTTACCACTCCTTTCCATTCCATCTCTCTAATCACCCACACCTTTCTGCTTTCTCACTCCATATTTTAAAATGTTATGTAATGCAATGTTGAAGGGATACAACTTTGCTCATTTATACTTATCACAATCTCCCTAAAAATACTTGAGGTTTCGTGTTTATTCAAGACATCTTCAGGTCATGAGACCCACTAATCCCCACCCAAGAAAGGATGACCTGACATTCCATCAGGTCAGTAATATGAGATCACTAATCCCTCCCCCACCCCCACCCTACCTCCACCTGACACTGAGTCAGGCCAGGTCTCCCAAAATACTTTAGCTTCCGTCTTTATTCGAGACATTTTCAGAAAATGCTCTCGATTTTCGACCCCGGAAATTTTTTCCCAAAGCCAGATATTTTTGGATAATTCCGGCTTTGGGAATGATTTTCCGAGCAAATTTAAATTCCGGCTATCGGAGATTTCCTGGTTTGAGGGATTCCGGCTAATGAAGATATTACTGTAGTTGTATATGCATGCAATATTTTCTATAGAAATGGCAATGATTTTCTGTATGTATTATGTAATGTATTTCATGGGGCAAAGGGAGGCTCGGGAACGTAACTCTTTTATTTTATCTATTTCTTATGGGGAAAATTGATCCCCTTAACGTTGTTTCGTATAACGTCGCGTTTTTAGAAATGTAACCTCGACGATAAGTGAGGACATACAGGTAGTTCTGCTATAACGCGATAATTGTGTTTTTGTAAAATATCGTGTTATAGAAAATCGCGTAATAGAAATAACAGGGCTTATGGAGAAAATAGGGTTAGGTGCAGATTACTCGAAATCGAAAAAATTTAGTAGTTAGCCTAACACAAAGGATAGCACAGTCTAAATAAATGTTACATTCATATCTAATAATGAAATCATACAGTAAATGTAACACTTTACTTGATTGGGGAGAAGGGTGATTTTGAGGTTGATAAAATCAAGCTTCTCTTCAAGTGTTATATCCTTTCTTTTACGATCATCACC